TATTGCTTCCTAACATACTATACTTTTTATGCATTTGTTTTATCTTTTTCTTTTCTTTTCTTTTTTGAAATGGAGTTTCGCTCTTGTTGCCCAGGCTGGAGTGCAATGGCGCAATCTCGGCTCACCAAAACCTCCATCTCCCGGGTTCAAGTGATTCTCCTGCCTCAGCCTCCCAAGTAGCTGGGATTACAGGCATGTGCCACCACGCCGACTAATTTTGTGTTTTTAGTAGAGACAGGGTTTCACCATGTTGCCCAGGCTGGTCTTGAACTCCTGCCCTCAAGTGATCCACCCCCCGCCTCGGGCTCCCAAAGTGCTGGGATTATAGGAGTGAGCCACCATGCCCAACTGTCTTTCTCTTCCCATCAGAATGAAAGCTCCTTCAGGGTGGAAACTTTTGACATCTGTAACAGTACATGGCACATTTAGGTGCTCCATACTTGTGGACTAAATAAATGAATGACTCTCTCACTTTCTTCCCTTGGTTCTTTCTCTTCCAAAGATTTGAAAAATTAAGAAACACCAGCCTGGCAACATAGGGAGACTCCATCTCTTAAAAAGAAAAAAATTAGCCAGGTGTGGTGGTACACACTTATGGTCTCAGTTACTTGGGAGGCTGAGGTGGGAGGATCACTTGAGCCTGGGAGATCAACGCTGCTGTGAGCCATGATCATGCCATTGCACTCCACCCTGGGTGACAGAGCAAGGCCCTTTCAAAAAAAAAAAAGAAGGAAGGATATAGGCAAGAGATAATAGAAAAATAATCTGTTTCCTAGTCCTGAAGAAATTAAAACTGAAGAGTGAAATATCTAGCAAGATGGACTTGACTTATAGTGAATTTTTTCCTCCTAAAGCAAACATCAGAACATATGATCTTGCCTTTATAAGGATATTTATGGAAACTACAGATGTTGGGAATTGTGATTATTCCCAGAAAATGTGGGGTACAGCATCACTGTGACTATTTAAACTAAATGAAACTATAAGGGTAGTTGAGAGCTCTCAGATAGGACCAGTGGTTAACCCCAGAGATAATCTTAGGCCCATTTAAGGCCTAACTCAGGCCTTAGTTTTCATTCTGGCAGCAAGATCCAGAAACTTGGCCTGCTTTCCCCTCTGACACTACTCATACTTTTTTGGGGTTCTTCTTTCCCCAAGACAGGGAAGCCAAAACTTAAGTGAGCAAGCTAAGGTTCAAGCCCAGGTTTCTTTGAGTTCTTTCCATTGTATTGTGGGAAGAAACTGGTGATGGAGACAGAATTAGGGGTAGGACTGGGAAGAAAGAAGAAAAAAGGAGAAAATGGAAGAGAATAAGGAAAAACCTGAAGTCCTTGGATATCCAGTTGTCCATGCATAGGCTCTAAGTGGTCTGTGAACCCACTAAAATTATGCTCAATTCTTATGGGTTTTTTTTTCCTAATCGAAGGTTAATTTTTTTCTCTGAGACAGAGTCTCAGTCTGTCACCAGGTGGGAGTGCAGTGGCGCAATCTTGGCTCACTGCAACCTTTGCCTACTGGGTTCAAGCGATTCTGCTGCCTCAGCCTCCCGAGTAGCTGGGACTGCAGGTGCCCGCCACCATGCCCAGCTAATTTTTGTATTTTTAGTAGAGATGGGGATTCACCATGTTGGCCAAAATGGTCTTGATCTCTTGACCTCGTGATCCACCTGCCTTGCCCTCCCAAAGTGCTGGGATTACAGGTATGAGCCACCGCGCCTGGCCGGAAGGTTAATTATTTCATGAGATTTTCAAAGAGGTGTATAACTCAAGAAAGATTATCAACCAACCACTGTGCCATGGAGTTTGTAGTATGTTCTGTTTAAGCTTTTTTTAGTGGATTTTTTTTTTCTTAAGGGAAAGCAAGAACAAAGCTTTACCTGACCCAAATAGCCTATGAAAGTCTGGTTAAAGACAAAATGAAACAAGCTAATTTTCTCAGCTGTTTCTGTGAAAGCAGAAGGAGCTATGGGTATTCAGTTTCTATAGCTAGAAATACTTGTGAAATAATGAAGCTTAGCAGCTTTCCAGGACAGAGTGATTCACACTGTTTTACAGAATTTAAAAAGCATGGTTTGCTTTTATGACTCTCTGTTGCCCTCAAAATAACCTCGAGGATTGGGGACATGAGTTTTGCCACATGGTGTGGAAAGGGATAGACCTCGAAAACAGGATAGAGCTGGAGAATCTGGGATGTGGGGTCTATTAACCACTGAGAATATTGGGAGTCTGGGGCAGAGTTGCCAAACGAGATCATTGCAGGCTGTATCTGAGCTGCCTCCTGTTTTTGTAATAAACCGTTATTTGGACCCAACCACCTTCATTTATTTACGTATTGTCTATGGTTGCCTGTGGTTACAGGGGAAGAGTTACATAGTTGTTACAGGGATCCTATGGCCTGAAAAGCCTAAAGTATTTGCTATCTGGGCTATTATGGAAAAGGTTGCCAACCCTGGTCTAGAGTCTAAGCATGTGAGGGAAACTTGGAAAGGCTTGTACTGATTTTCACATATACCTTATTTTAGAACCTTTATTTGTTATACGCCCATGAATATTGGCAATCTGTGTGTACATGCTGGCCATAACTTGTAAACATAGAACCAAATTCTACCCTGTGGACAACTTTCCTTTGATTTCATGTGTTGATGGTTTGAGTAATGTGTGTGCATATTATTTAACTAAAATTTAAATTCAGTTTGTGTATCATAATAAGTTTCCAAAGGGAACTTTCAAATTAATGTAAGCATTTTTTGACTTCAGAGATTTTTATTTTTGAGACAGGGTCCCACTCTGTTGCCTAGGCTAGAGTGCAGTGATGCGATCTAGGCTCATTGAAGTCTTGACTTCCTGGGTTCAAGCAATCCTCCCACCTCAGCTTCCTGAGTGGCTCAGACTACAGGTGCACACTACCACACCAGGTTAATTTTTTGATTTTTTTTGGTAGAGATGAGGGCTCACTATGTTGCCCAGGCTGGTCTCAAATTCCTGGGCTCAAGCAATTCTCCTGCTTTGGCCTCCCAACGTGTTGGGATTATGAGTGTGAACCACCATGCTCAGCCAAGAGATTTTTTAAAAAATTCTAAAAACATAAGAAAACAAATCGAAGGGCAAACTGAACTTTGACAATACAAAGATCTCTAACAAATCAATAAGAAATATGCTTATGTGCAGTATTAGTTGTATATTTCTGCATAACACATTGTCCCAAAATTTAGTGGCTTAAAATAATAATCACTTATTGTCTTTAGAGAACAGTATTTTTTTTTTTCTCAGACACAGGGTCTGACTCTGTCACCCAGGCTGGAGTTCAGTGTCGTGATCTTGGCTCACTGCACCTTTCACCTGGGCTCAAGTGATTCTTCTACTTCAGCCTCCTGAGTAGCTGGGACTACTGGCATGTTACCATGCTCAGTTAATTTAAATTTTGTTACTAGATATGAGGCCTCACTATATTGTCCAGGCTGGTCTTGTACTCCTGAGCTCTAGCAATCCTTCTGCCTAGGCCTCCCAAAATGCTGGGATTATAGGCATCAGCCACTGTGCCTGGCATAGAGAACATTTTTGTACTTTAAAAGCTATCATGACAGAACAGTTCAAACTGGATGAGACTTATTGGGAAAGAATTGCTTTTCTGGCAGCAATTGAAAGATTAAAAATAGTATCTTGGCCGGGCGTGGTGGCTCATGCCTGTAACCCTAGCACCTTGGGAGGCTGAGGTGGGCAGATCACCTGAGGTCAGGAGTTGGAGACGAATCTGGCCAATGTGGTGAAACTCCATTTCTACCAAAAATACAAAAATTAGCTGGGCGTGATGGCATATGCCAGTAATCCCAGCTACTGGGGAGGCCGAGGCAGGAGAATCGCTTGAACCCACAATGAGCTGAGATCGTGCCACTGCACTCCAGCCTGGGTGACAGAGTGAGACTTAGTCTCAAAACAAACAAACAAACAAAAAACCCCCCAAAACCAAAATGGTATCTTTACCTGTTGTGTTTTGAATTATTACTTAATCATTGTCAGCTATAATTTTCCCCACAAATTCTCTGAAGACAGTTTTCTTCCAAATAGTACTGTATATCTGAGCAGAGCTTTACCAAATATTTTTGCTTGTATATTATTTCAAACAATTGCAAAATAGGCAGAGTAGGAATTATTACCCAGCATTACCTTTTCCTTTGTTTTTAAGTGTAAAACTTGAGACCTAGGAACTTAAAGTGGTCACTCCTGGCTACAGGGTTAATTAGTGACAGAGCCAGGGCTAGGATCCTACAGTTGTTAGTAATTGGAATTACTCTTCATTTTTGTATTTTGTCATGCAAGCATGCATTTGAAACATTTCCGAGTGATTGAAAAATATTAATTTCTACTCTTGTATAAAACAAGGATAATATTATTCATGTTGTAGGATTGTTGTAAGGAAGGATTAGGGATTAAACACAATGACTGCAGTCGAGTAAGTGCTTTGCAAATGGTGCTGCCATTATTATACTTTTCCCAGAATTATAGGATTATATGATTATTTTGATTTTTAAAAAATTAGAATAAAATATAAATATACCATTTTAACACTTTCTTTTGTAAAACAAGTTAAAAACCATATCTATCTACTGTGATTGCAGTTTTTTTAATTCCCCAAATGAACTAACCATATTGGAGTAATTAGTTCTTTGCTTCACTTAACCATGCAGAGATATTTTTGAACTTAAAGGACTGTGTTCAAACTCACATACAATGCAGCTTTAGCATTCATGTTTCAATTTTTTCAATTTTTAATTTTTATTTATTTTTACTTTTTATAGAGATGGAGTCTTGCTATATTGCCCAGGCTGGCCTTGAACTCCTGGGCTCAAGCAATCCTCCTGCATTGGCCTCCCAAAGTGCTGGGATTACAGGCATGAGGCAGTGCGTCTGGTCATGTTTTGTTTTGTTAAATTGTAGTAGTATCATTACCTTGGTAAATTCATAACCCAATTTAAATGCCCCAGAGCGAATAAAACTTCATTATAAATTCAAGTACTGTATTTTTAAGTGTACATATTATACACCCAATAGATACATACTGAAATCACTACAACAAGCAGTTACATTCATGACACCCAGTACTAAGTTTTTTTTTTTAACACTGAAATACATGATGCTAGATATATTGCTTCATTATCATCACTGCTGCTTCGTACAGTAACTTTAGTACAATAGCTTATATGATTGCATTTTTAAAACTTTAATAAAGCTAGTAGCATTTAGCAATATTGAATGAAACATTCTTTTATGTATAGGATGTATTTTAGGTCAGATGCTTATGTAAGAATAAGCACTTAACATGCTGTTATATCCTTGACAAAACAAATTCATCCCTTTTCATTAAACAGAATAAGCCAGACTAAAAGGAATCTGAAGTAACTGAAAGAAAATTAAAAATTTTTATCCCTGTATTATGTTAAATATTAAAATAACATAATATTTTCCTGGTTAAAACATACATTTTTCTGGTTGAAATACATATATATGTATGTATGTGTGTATATATATGTGTATGTGTGTGTGTGTGTGTGTGTATATATATATGTGTGTGTGTGTGTATGGGGAAAGAGAGAGAGAGAGATTGTAAAGGCTGTACTAAAATGCAAACATAGCTGTAGCCCTTAGATGATACTTTAGCTGGGAAAAAGTATGGTGAGTTGTACTCAACTACTTTTTCTGCTTAGAAAAAAATTAAGAGCTTATAAATTTCTAATGTCTTAAAACAGGTATTTATTATTTAAGATCTTTAAATATACCTGTATTAAACAAATTAGGTTATTTAAAAAACTTTGCAACAATACCTCACTTATTCACAAATATATTTTCTACCCATATTTATTACAGTTTGAACAATTTAAAAACAAATCCTGCAAACACTCTTAGCTTAGATAACAATTACTATTATCTTAGTTCACATAAATGATTGCAAGAAATATTTATAATACTTTATATAGTATCTTATCTGAGGCTGAGAGCAAACACTAATCACGTTTGGCTTTACAGATGGAAAAACTGGGATGGTGGGTAATTGTTCTGATAACGATAGTAACTGCCTTTTCAATTTGCTTTTCATATTTTGTTTGTACAGCTGGCCTTCCCATTTTTTTCTTTTTTTGGTAGGGGATACAACCTTTAAAGTTCTTTGAGTAAAGTAAATCTTCTGGAAATCAGATACTTATTTAAAAAACTTTTAGATATGTATAGATTAACTTAATTTTACTTATATCATCAAATTAGCCTTGGGGTGTGTTCAATAGTTTGCTCAGAATTTCTTATGGAAAATAACTCTTCCTATTTTTCTCAGTATACAAATGATTATCTAAAAAGGAAGATTTCTTGTTAAGTGAATAGTGAGTCCCCCTTAAAAAACTTGTTTATAATTGCTGTTTTTGAAAAATAGAACAAACATTGTAGGTTTAACTAGTTATGGAATAATGATGAATAACTCAGTGTGACTCTTAACATAATACAATCTTATTCAAACAATTCTTTTTTCCTTAGAGTAGTCAGCCATTGAAAAAAAATTACAAAGACTTTACTAAACCAGATTAATGCTTACAGTCTCTGATGAAGTTTCAAGGGAAAAAAAAGACTATTTGGAAAATAAAAAGAAATAGACTGTACTGAATTTGTGATTTTATTTTTAAGCTACCCCCTCATTCATATATATATGTATATCTCCATAATTAGATTCAGAGAAATGTCCTTTACTGTTTTTTTCTTCTGAAGAGAACCACATATTGATCATAACCTTTTCCATACATACTTAATAACTTACATTTTGGGATAAAGGGAGTTGGTATGGCCCACCTTGAACCATCCTAACATTTTCAAATCAAGTCAGATACATCTTTGGATTAATCAGCTGTCGATGGAGGTTTGATAGAGGGAATACTGCATGATCGTCTCATGATAAGCCTGACTTCTATATCTGGTAGATTATCCTGCTTAGTCTGTAAACACCCTTCATCGGTGGCTGCTAAATGAAGATCAAATCGAAGAGAAACAGATTTTTTCCTCAATCGAGGGTTGTCTTTAAAGAAAGAACCTTCCCATTCTTTAATAACTTCATCCACTTTCTCTGTCCTGAAATGATAAAATAAACCTTTTAATATGAAGAAGTATGGGTCTATTAAAAATATATAATATGTATTTCATATCTATGGGAAAATCAAGAAATTTGTATAATTTGTAGTTTGTAGAATTTATAATATACTTACTTTAAAGATCATATGAATAGAATTTCCAAGGAATTGTATGGAATTTCTCTGTAGGAATTCTTATGTTTGGGTTGTATTTTTAGAAAAAAATGG